GTTGAGAATAAAAAGTAATAACATTATGAGAAGAGTGAGGACCTTACAACCGAAATTCTTCTTTGCTGAGCTCATCACTCTTATCTTCATAGAATTTTTTTAATACTTGCTAGTTTATTTTTTTAATACATGTAGATGATATTAGTTATAAATCTGTATACTGAATGACTTTCGGAGGTGGGGGAGAATGCATACACTTGTGCTTTGATTACTTTACGATCAGTTGAAGTTGAGCCTCTTGTTTTGCAAAAACCCTCTTTTCCGATTACCTTCTCATTTTTCAAGTATTGGAGAAGATCAAAAACGGTTTCGTACGGCAACTCGTCAACGAGCGCTGCTGCAAATGCGTCACTAATGATTCCGTTTCGCGTAATTGTGCTGTATACCTGAAAAAAATGCACTGAAGGTCCTTTGCGGCAAACAAATTCTGCCGAATTGCATTACAGTAAATTTGAAAATTATACTGTGAATTCACACAGAACCTCTGTCGAACTTCTCCAACTCCTCTAAGTTTCGATTTCTCATCCCAAAGACTTTTTTGAATGTGTGGCTAATGAAATCCAGGAGGAGCCTTCTGCATTGTGCAGAAAAGTAAAGAAGAAGTCTTCAAATTTTTTTCGTTAATAAATTCGTACCTTTCATGAGAAGTAGGGAAGAGATTTCGAAATCTGTTGTAGTTTATCTCTATTTTAAGTCATGGTCAATGACTCTGTTCTTCTCAATGGGTTGATTCGTAAAATTACGCTTATTTAACAAACCAACGTTCCAAGCCTTTTTTACATTCAGAAACATCGCGTCTGAGGGGCTTCTCATTTCGATAAGCCAAAACATTGATTAACTCCATCTAGTTTGAAAGATACTACGCTTCGAATCTGAACGGAGGGAAATGGGAGCTATCATACTTTCCCTCCCTGGTAACTGCATGCTAGTGTAGTAGCAAAGGAAAGGAGAAAAATTCATTCGGTTGGTCCGAAAGTCTTGCACTGTTTTCGATCCAGAACTCATAGGTTTTAAACTATAATTCTTAATCATATCGTGATCACCCAAATCTACTCTTCTCAACTACAGTTAACGCAATTCGCTTAAAGGGTAAGGAAATGGCCATATTGCTACTTACTTTAGCAGTGCTCGACTTTACATGCCCTAGCTCACTGCCTTGATTAGGGAGTTCTACTGAACATCCGCTTACTCTCTCAACTTAGCCTCGTCTGACAACATTTTTTCGGGCACTACGGCTGCATCTACGAGGGAAAAACTAGATGATCAGAAAAAGCTGGAAAGTAAGATTTCGCCTTTTCTCGACTGCAGCCGCCAGAGTTCTCAGGTAGGATGTACCAATCTCCCTGTCAAAGTTTGGGTGCGCTTCTACAATAGAAAATCAGCTCCCTGAGATAGGGAGCTGATTTTTTATTGCAAAAGGGCACTCGATTTCGATAGGGAGATTGATACATTTCACCCCTGGACTTTTGGAATTGGTAGTGGTGTAGCGTTCGACATACATGGTGGATCCCCATGATTATTATTTTGATCCATATCTGTGAACAATAAAGCTAGAATTTTTAAAAGTGTGAATTGTCGTGCAAGACTTTTGAACCATCCTGATAGGAGGTATTATGTTTAAAATTA